GGGGAAACCCAGAGAGACGGCTGACCCAAGCTTGTGGGGGCTCAGGGACTCTAGAGAAACAGCTAAGGAGCCTGCATGGAACTGACCTAAGCCCTCTGCATGTGGGTGACACTTGTGTAGCTTTGTCTGTTTGTGGGGCTCGTAGTAGTGGGACCTGGATCTGTCTCTGCTGCATGAGCTGGCTTTTTGGGATCCATTCCCTTTGGTAGGATGCCTGCCTGATGCTGGATGAAGAGGGGAGGGGCTTAGTCCTGCCTCAACTTGATATGCCGTGTTCTGTTGGCCCCCATGGGGGCTGCCCCTTTCTGAGGAGGGGATGAGAGGAGAGTAAGGAGGGGTTACTGTGCTCTGTGGTCGGTATGTAAAATAAATTTTGAAAATTCATTAAAAAGAGAGCAAATAATGGTTGGGAGGCTATGAGGTCAAACCGCGCTCTCAAACAGCCAGCTGAGAAAGTTGGAGTCAGTTGGAACTCCCTACTGAGTTGTCTCTCCATGGCTGAGTTTGCCATGGTTCTAATTCAGCCTCCTTTTCCCCGCCCCAGGCACTTTTATATCACGGGGTAAACAGTCACAATATCTGGGAGAAATGGTTCACGTACTAGCCGTTCTCCAGGGTGTGGTATTTTTACCCACAAGCTCTTTTATTCTCTTCCTGTTACAGATTTGGGGGTCAGTCCGTTTCCAGACAAGAACCCACAGAAGGCACTTGACAGAGACATGTTTGGGCCTGATGGGGAGTAGGGACCTCCCCACTTGCAGGGCCAGCTTCTGAAATAGCTTGTGACAGCTTAACAGTGGCATCCATTACACACAAATGCAAGCTGTGCTCAAGGGCCAGGGAAAATCTCAAATTAACCATTGTCTGGGCACAGAGTTTACAGATCCCTAAAAACATACATGTTAATCGGGCTAAAGAAATAATGCAGTGGTTAGGAGCATGCCCTGCTCTTGCAGAGGACCTGAGTTCAATTCCCAGCACCCATGTGGGACGGCTTATGGCCAGCTGCAACTCAACTCCAGGGGGAGAGGGGATTCAACACCTCTGGCCTCCACTAGAACCACCCACACACATACACGATTAGATATTACTGTTTAAGGGTACAGCCTGAGATTTAAAATATCAAAGTTAGAACATATATGGGTGAATGCTTACCTTTGATGTGTTGTGGATTTTTTTTCTCTTCCGCTCACTGACTCAGGACACTCAAAGATGTATCAAGCTTATCTGAAGAATATGCTGAGCCATGTTTGGTCCAGAAAGTTCAAAATCGCGATTGAGTGTTTCGGGAATGAGGACCTCACCCAGGACAACTGCAGCCGTTTATGGAATCTTTTCGTGCCAAAGGCAAATGAGAAGCCACACACCGTGCTCCTGATAGGAATGTCAGGAGTTGGCAAGACAGTGTTCTTGGCCCAGTTAATGCGAGCCTGGTCAGAAGGCCTGATGTTTCAGAACGAATTCTCCTACGTCTTCTACCTGTGCTGTCACGAAATAAAGCAGTTGAAGACGGCGAGCCTGGCCGACCTGTTGTCCAGAGAGTGGCCCAGACCCTCAGCTCCCATAGCAGAAATAGTATCCCAGCCTGCAAAGCTCTTGTTCATCATTGACAGCTTGGAAGGGCTCAATTGTGATTGGTCTGAACCGGAATCGGAGCTGTGTGATAATTGGATGCAGAAGTGTCCCGTGAGTATACTCCTGAGCAGTCTTCTCAGGAGGAAGTTACTCCCAGAATCCTCTCTCCTCATCACAGCTACCCCAGAGGCTTTCGAGAAGTTGGGAGACAGGATAGAGTACACAGTTAAGAACTTCGTGACAGGGTTCAATGAGAACAGTAGGAGGTCGTGTTTCCAGAGGGTGTTCCAAGATGAGGACACAGCCCAAGAAGTCTTTACGTTGGTGAGGGAAAACGAACAGTTGTACAATATATGTCACGTTCCTTCACTCTGCTGGATGGTGGCTACTTGTCTAAATGATGAGGTAAAGAGGGGAGGACACCTGAGCGCCGTCTGCCGGTGTACCACCTCCGTGTTCGCCGCTTACGTTCTCAATTTGTTCATTCCCCAAAGTGCTCACTATCCAAGTAAGAAAAGCCAAGCGCTGTTGCGAGGCCTGTGTTCCGTGGCGGCTGAGGGCATGTGGACTGACAACTTTGCCTTTAACCAGAAGGATCTTGAGAAAAACGGGGTCTTCCACTCAGACATCTCCACACTGCTGAACATGAAGATTCTTCTAAAGAGCAGGGACTCCAAGAATCTCTACACATTCTTCCACCCATCCATCCAGGAGTTCTGTGCCGCCCTGTTTTATCTGGTGAACAGCCACGTGGACCACCCTAGTAAAGATGTCCTCTGTGTGGAGACACTCCTGTTTACATTTCTAAAGAAAGTCAGGGTGCAGTGGATCTTCTTGGGCTGCTTCATCTTTGGCCTGCTACACAAATCAGAACAAGCAAAGCTAGAGGCGTTTTTTGGCTACCAGTTGTCCCAGGAGGTAAAGCAGACGTTGTGTCAGAGCCTGGAAAAGATAAGTGCCGACGAAGAACTTCGGAAACAAATCGATGACATGAAACTGTTTTACTGTCTATTTGAGTTGGAGGATGACGGCTTTGTCACGCAGGTGATGACCTTCCTGCCGCAGATCAAGTTTGTGGCTAAGGAGTATTCTGATCTGATCGTGGCCGCCTACTGCTTGAAGAACTGTTCCACACTGCAGAAGTTATCCATTTCAACCCAAGACATCCTGCAGGAAGAAAAGGACCCCAGCTATCTGTGAGTCCATCCATTTCACCCCCCCTCGTCGCCCTCTCAGAATCTGCCCTGGGTTGTGTTGATTTCTATAGAACCCTGATTTAATTCTCACCCTACTGGTTGTCCAGTGCTGAGTGTTCAGGCCAGAAAACACATACAGACAAACAACAGAAACAGACTCATCAGATTGTTAGTGTGTGTGTGTATATACTGTGTTTGTGTCTGTGTGTATCTGTGTGTATATATATATAATATATATGTATATATATTATATATAATTTGTGTGTATGTATACATGTATATAAGTATTTGTATATATGTGTATATATACATATGTGTTCATAAATGTGTATGTGTGTATGTGAACATATGTGTTATATATACATACATGTATACATGTATACATATGCATACATGTGTGTGTATTGTGTACATATATGTATATGTGTGCTTGTGCATACATATACATAAAAGAAAAATGGTATCAAATACAGAGCAGAGGACATGTCAGTTGGAAGAGGAAAAGTGATATAATTCTATTTCAATTAAACAGACTTTGAAAAATCAATTTAAAACTATTAGAGCTTTTAAGGAGAAAAACATAAAAATTCACGTTTTGTCAACACCTTCAGTTCTTTTTAAAGATTTTTCTTTCCTGTGTCTGGTAACTGCATGTTGGTTTACACATAGGTGGAGATGGCTTCAGTGGCCAGAAGAGGGCATCGGATCCCCTGGAGCTGTAGTGACAGATGGTTTGTAGACTGCCCTGGTGTAGGTTCTGGAATCCAAATTCTTATTCTCAAGAAATAAGCACTGATCTGTCTCTAGTCCATATTGAGCCCTGGATTGAGTCTCTTAAAGATACACTATTTGGGGGGCTGGAGACATGGCTCAGAGGTTAAGAGCACTGGCTGTTCTTTCAGAGACCTGAGTTCAATTCCCAGCAACCACACGGTGGCTCACAACCATCTGTAATGAGATCTGGTACCCTCTGCTGGCCTGCAGGCAAACATGCAGGCAGAACACTGTGTATATAATGAATTCTTTACTACTTTGAGGCAAGAAGCTGTGGCAATCGTAGAACTCAGATATCCATCTGCCTGTCACCAGAGTAGTGGGGTTAAAGGCATGTGCCACCGTGCCTGGCTTTTTCTGCTAATTATTAGTTGTGGGTATTTATAGAGTAACAGTGATGTATTTGTTCATATCTGCAGGGGCTGAGGAAGTGGCCAAGCTGGCATGGTATTGCCTATAATATTGCACAGGTGTTGGGTTTCTTTCCCAGCATCAGACAGTGGTCCATGCCTGTAATCCCAGGCACTCAGGTAGTGGAGGCAGATCAGAAACTCAGGGTCATCCTTGGTTGTATAGCCAGTACAGGGCAAGCCTACCACAGACAAGACGCTGTGTCTAAAGAATAAAAAATACATATTGTGTCTCACACTAGTGCCCTGGGGAAACTGAGGCAGAAGGACCTCTGTGCATTTGAAACTAGTCTGGGGTTGCATACATAGCCGGTTGCGAGTTACTGTCTCAAAAAACATACATGTGTATAATTTGTGATCCCCTGGCTCTTTTATTTCCATCCTGGGGTTGGAATCCAGAGCCTCATGTATACCAGGCTAGCACTTTATCAGGAACTGAGGGCCCAGCTCCTTTTTATTTTTTGAGACATGGTCTAGCCTTCTATCTGCTGTGTAATAAAGGCTGGGCTTAAACTTTTGATTCTTGTGCAGGAGTAGAGTAGGCTGGGTTGACTCTTCCTGGAATATATCCTGAGAACTCTTCTTTGTGACAGTGACCTCGTTATCCATCTTTGTGACAGTGACCCCGTTATTCAAGAGCAGTGGTATTCACCCACCATATTGTGAGGGTGGGGTGTGATGATCTGTGTCCTGTGAGCTTTCTTAGATATGAGCGTCACACTCAGGCTTTTCCCTCAGCTCAGTCTTTCTCCATCTCCTAACTGCAAACGGCCTTTTAAAAGTTTAGTGTCTCTGGGTAGTGTCATCACCACACGCCTTTAATCCCAGAACTAGGGAGGCAGAGGCAGAGGCAGCTGTCTGAGTTCAAGGCCAGCCTGGTCTGCAGAGAGAGAGAGGGTTCCAGGACAGCCAGGACTGTTACATTGAAAAACCCTGTCTCAAAAAACCAAAATAACAAAAAGACAAAACCCAAAAGTTAAATGTCATAGGAGTATGGGGAATGGCTTCGTTGCTGCACAGGTATGAGAATTCCAGTGTCATTGCCGGGAGCCACATTTTCTTTTTAAAGGACTCTGTATAGTAGCATGCTCCTATAGTCCCAGGAATAGGAAGGCAAACACATGCACATACATACAAACACACACACATGCACACACACACACACAAAGAGAACTGTTAGAACGCAAATTTGATTATTCTGTTAGAGACAAGGAAAATGGGCAGAGAAGTCAAGTATATTATCCTAAATTATATACCGGGCAAATAGCCACAGCTAAGCCTGAGCTCAGTAGAGGCTTGCTCTAGCTTTTGACCTGGGAGCTCTGGCATCCTGCCTCCTTCTCATACTGAAACCATCAAGGTTATCAGTAAAGCAGGTTTAATCAACCTCAGCCCCACGAAGTCATCTTCGTGGGATGTCTGTCCTGCCCTGAGAGCAGGGAGTGTAGGTGAAAATCCCACGCTGTAAATGGAGTTCTTTGTTGATCTAGATAATAAAAACCTGGAGTCAGATATAGGGGAAATACTAAGAGATTAGAGAGAAGAAGCAAGCTACAGCCACACCCCTTACCTCCTTTGAGTCTCATCGGACAAGAGAGTTCCTGTTTCTCCTCCTTATAACCTGTTTCCATCCAGCTACCTCACTTCCTGTCTGTCTGTACAAACCTCCAGACCACTATGGTTAGCTTGTGGTAAGCTCCATTCTCTGACCTTCAGATAGGCTTTATTTGTACAGGCAGGATATCACCACAACCAGACAAACCTGGTTTCCACCGTATAGGACTCTCAGAAACATCTGTGGCCTTTACCCAATAGATAGGAGCTGTACCTGTCCCCTAAAGCTATAATAACCAGAATCCCCACAGGCCTTGTGCACTGTCTGACTATGAACTGCGAGCATGAACTTACTACCCTTGCTTTGTTCAGAGAGTCAGTTTGCTGCTGCATTTGTGTGCTGTGAATGGCTTGTCTTAATTGTTTTGTAAATGAGTAGACTCTAAAAGCACTGGCAGGTTTTCCCATTCATTTGTGTTTATTTTGTGTGGGGGACTGTTTTACTTACATGGGTGCAGGGACTCCATGTGTGTGCAGTGCCCATGGTGGCCAGAAGAGGGCGTGATCGCCCTGGGATTGGAGTTATGGATGGTTGTGAGCCACCATGTGAGGGCTGGGAACTCAACTCTGGTCCTCTGTGAAAACAGCAGATACTCTGGATCAAGGAGCCAACTCTCCAGCCCCTTGAGTTAACATTTCAGCAATGGAATGCATGCCTTTCTCCTCCATTACAGGAAAAAGCTGCTCCTCCGTTGGCAAGATTTGTGTTCTGTGCTTGGAAGCAGTCAGCAAATCCAGGTCCTGCAGGTGAAAGACACTTATCTCAACGAGTTGGCCTTCTTGGAGTTGCATAATCACCTGAGGAATCCCAGCTGTGCTCCTCGTAAATTCCTGTAAGTAAAAGGTCGACTTTGGTTCGGTCATGTCAAGGAAGTAATGGAGTAAGCCTCCCGCCCCCCCCCCCAAGCTTAGCTGCAGAAATGGAGTCTGGCCGGCTCGGCACCACTAATGTCTGTTGCTGACCATTCTCCACTGGGGGGATGTTCCGTGAATTTTAGAATCAGAGTGTGCGTGGGCTCCTCTTTCTAGATGCTGGCAGCTTCTTCTTCTTGTGACAGCCAGCCTTGCCTCCAGACAGTTCTCAGAGTTCCACATGGAAGAGAAAAATCAACCAGTTGCAGAACCAGTGAGGTGTATGGCTGGGTCACGAAATTGGAGTCACTTGGGGACATAGGAGGTGATCAAACACCAGAGCTCAGGCTGGGTGGGAACTGATGGGTCTCTTTGTTTGTTCTGCAGGGTAAATAACGTGTCCTTCTTGTGCAACAACCAACTGTTCTTTGAGCTGCTGACTCAGAACCATAACCTGCATCACCTGGACCTCAGCCTCACTTCTCTCTCCCGAAGCGATGTCAAACTGTTGTGTGAAGTTCTGAACCAGAAAGGGTGTCACATAGAAGAGCTCCTGTAAGTCTTTGTGTTTGTCTAATTCGCTGACTCCCACCAAAAGAGGCATCCGGGTTTTGATCCATCTTGGTGTGATTTAAAAACAAAAGACAAAAATAAAAACACGTAAGCAGGCTAGTGCTCAGCCACCTTTCTCCCCTTGTAGACAATTCAGGATCATCCTTCCTGAGGAATGGTGCCTCCCACAGTGGGCAGGGCTTGCCGCCTTAGTCATCTAGAAATTGCCCTTGTACAAAATCCCTCACTGAGACTCCCTTTCCATGTGATTGTGGAGTGTGCCAAACTGACACTGAAAACCATCCCGGGAGGACTACAATTTAAAGTTTGTGCACTTTGGTGTTTGTCCCTAGCTTCTACCATTCCTGGGCAATCTTAGTCACTTTAAAAACCAATCACAGCTAGGAACACAGAGGGATCAGTGAGTTAAGGCAATTGCTGCCAACCCTGCAACCTGGGTTCAGTCCCCAGGGCCCACATGGAGAAAGGAGGGAATAGACTTCCACGAGTTCCTCTCTTTGGCTCCACCTGCAGGCTGTGGCACAGGCCTGCAAATCGATAAGTAATGTAATTCTTTAAGAGTTTAAAACACTGCTCTTCCTGAGGACCCGAGTTCAATTCTCTGCACCCATTTGGTGGTTCACAGCCTTCTGACCTCTGCAGGCTCTAGGTACACCTGTGGAGCAGACACATGTAGGGAAAGGCTCACACATGAGATAGAAGCTAAATAATCTACTTTTAATTTTTTAAAGTAAACTGATGATGAAATGCGAAAGTTAATTTCTAGATAGTTGGAATCACTCAGGAAACCATTGCTTCTGTTGGTTTTTGTGGGCCCTGACATACCTTAGAACTCGGAACTCTCACTGCTAAGTGTATGTTCGATTGTTGCTTGATTCTGTTTGCTTGAATGGCGGTGTTCAGTGCTGAAAAGTTGAAATTCTGACCAACAGGAACTGGGACAATAGACCCGTGGTTATTGATCCTATCTAGATAGATCTCAGATATTATTTGGGGGATGAATTTGATTACAGAGGATATCGTCGTGTGCTTCACATATAACATTCACAGATGGGCAAGACTGTGGTATTGGATGTGTCCTTGTTTGGAGCTAGTGACAGAAAAGGGGGAGGGGATGGTTATGGTTGATGACAGTTCTTGGTATGTTCAGTTTTGTCCTATTTCTATGTCCCGGATACTGGTGTTCTGTATGGTTCTGTGGTAGCCATGCTTTGACTTTTGAATGATTGAGCATATAGCAACAAAAACTTTTTTAAAAAAGTAGCAAGTAGCAGAAAGAAGTTACAGGTAACTAGCAAATTTTCATCAGATCAGACTCTGATGTGTCCACCAGAGATTAGGATAGTTCAATGAGAGAGAAAACTAAAGAAAACATCAAGTGGGGGCCTACAAACTGTAAAATGGCCAGGGAAACCTTTTGAAGCAGTCAGGGAATTCCTTTTGGGGTCCTGAGGAAAGAAGAAATCATAGCAGACAGGTAATGTCCACAGATAGCATGAGCAAGACAGGTGCTTACATTCACCCAGCAGAAATGACTGGTAAAGCCCTGAGACAGCCCCGAAGGAGTTGCCCATTGAGAGTTCTAGGCAGAGTAGAGCATTCTCTCCACCCTGCCTTGACCAGGGTACGGGGTAAATAATAATAACCTTGGTTGGCACTCGCTTACTTTCCAGCTGTTACAGGAGCACAGTGTTTTTACACTGTGTGAGCGCTCTCTCCTCTTCCTGTTATAGACCCAGAAGGGCCAGTCCATCCCTGCACAAGGAGTCTCAGAGGATATTTGCAGTAAACATGCTGGAGTCTGGGGCAGGGAAGCCCTCCTCACGCCCAGAGTTCAATTTCAGCAAGCTTAAACAGCACATCACAGCTTACGCCTATAGTGTATATTACAGCTGGTAACTCAAAGGCATTCAACACGCACACCAATAAATATATGTATTTTTTGAAAACTGGGCTGCAAAGATAGCTCAGTGGTAAAGAGTGCTTGCTCCTCATGCAGAGGACCAGGTTTAAGCCCCAGCACCCACATCGAATGGCTTACAACCACTGGTAATTCTAGGTCTAGTGCATATGACGCCCCCTGTTGGCTCCTATGAATACCAGGCACACATGTGATGCTCATACAATAATGCAGACAGACACTCCTGCACATTAAAAATAATCTTTTTGAAAGAACAGTTTGGAGTTCTGAAAGGTCCCAAACCTTCATGGGGACAGCAAGGGGACATGTTGTGAGCCAGAGAAGAGTATGACATTCTTCTTTTCCTGCAGGTTGTCAGGCTGCCAGCTTTCCCATGACGACTGCATAATCTTTGCCTCCATCTTGATCAGCAGCAAGAAGCTGAGGCATCTCAATGTCTCGTACAACAACTTGGACAAAGGGATGTACTTGCTGAGCAAGGCTTTGTGCCACCCAGACTGTGTTCTGAAGGACTTAGTGTAAGTTGTCGTGATGGGGACGGCCCTGTGGAGAAACTGTGACCGGGAAAGTGGCTCAGTGGGTAAGAGCACTTGCCATGCTGACAACAGCAGGAGACTATCCATAACCCCAGAGGCCAGGGGTGAGGATAGGTGGGTCCTAGGGCTCCAGGATCAAACATATTGGTGAGCTCTCGTCTCCAAACGAGGCAGGGAGCAACTGTGGAAGACAAGCAGCCACAGCCTCTGGCCCCCACAGGGGCACAGATATCGCTGTTAAATTCCCTAAGCAGCACAGACACAGAAGGCAGGAAAGAAACTGGAGGCTAATCTTGACAGAGCAGACTGTTTATTCCCAGACAGCAAAGGACAGACAGTCTCCTGTGAGGAAAGGGTACCTGTGTGGGCCCCTGAGACTCTTCATAGGAGTGGGGTGAGGTTGTTGTTTGCACCCCTGCAGGGCTAGGTCAGTTCCCTTTGGGCTTTCTTTCTCAGCCTTAGGGAAAGGTGAACTGAGCATAGGCAGGCCCTAGACTCTGGAAGTGATGCTACCAGCTGTTCCAAGTTTTTGTCGTCCCCCCCCCCGCCTCGGCTTCCCCTAATGAGGAAATGTAATCTGGAATAGTGAATATATCCTCTCTTCCCAAAGTTGCTTTTATTGTTTGTCTGTTCTGTTTTTCAAGACAGGGTTTCTCTGTGTGACTTTGAAGCCTGTCCTAGAACTTGCTCTGTAGACCAGGCTGGTCTGGAACTCACAGAGATCCATCTGCCTCACCTCCCCAGTTCTGGCATTAAAGGTGTGCACCGCCACCACCCAGCTCCCAATGTTGCTTTTGTAAGGCTATTTTAGTCACAGCAACAGAAATGAAACTTAAGCACATACACATATTTTTCATACTATTCGTTATGTAAGACCACATGGATGTGTTTGTCTGTATCACAGCAGCCGTATAGTTACAAAAAGTGTCATTAAAACCAGGTGATTGAGGCATTGTTATTATAAAGGATTTAGGTTAACATCGGGTAAGGTCTTCCAAACAAGCATTGTCAGTGAATTTTCCTCAGGTTCCACACTAGACTGATATGAGTTGGAGGAAATGATCAGCCAGGGGTTTCTTGTCTTGCTTGTATGTTTTGTTGCTGTGTGGAATGTTGTGGAAATGTCACTCCCCCCATTCACAGGCCAGTTTTTCCTTCCCACAGGTTGGCTAGCTGCTCCCTCAGTAAGCAGTGTTGGAACTACCTTTCTGATGTTCTGAAGCGAAACAAAACCCTGAGCCACCTAGACATCAGCTCCAATGACCTGCAGGACGAAGGTCTGAAGGTTCTCTGCCAGGCTCTGAGTCTCCCGGACAGTGCCCTGAAGTCACTATTGTGAGTTTCTTTGAGCTTGACGTTAGAGGCCTTGTCTAGGGATCCTTAACATCTGTCTATACCCGAGAATATGGAGGCTAGGATTATTCACCTCAGGTTCCAAACGAGCCTTTCCCAGGGACAATTCCATACCTTGACCTCTGTGTTGGGGTTTTGGTATGTGGTTGGCATCAACTCAGAACATAGACACCAGGGACTGAGAGGAAGAAAGGAGTTATGGCTTGGGGCCAGGAGATGGTTAAGATGTTTGGGGTGGGTCTAGGAGATGAATATCCTCGGGTCGAAAAGTGGACCCCAAATTGTGGACAGAAAGGTACGTTCTTGATTTTTCTTGTTGCCGTGACTGTGATGAAATACCTGATAGAAGGGAGTTAAGGGAATCAGGGTTCATGGCAGGTCATAGGATGGAATGTTCTAATTTCTCTTGGTGCAGATAAAACGTGGTAGAGTGGCCTCCTGGTGGCGGGAGTGTATAAAACACCTTCACGTCTTTGTGGATTTGGAAGCACCAAGTGGATCCAAAAGCAGGGGTATTGATACAACCCTTAAGACAAACACTCAGTGGCCCACGTCTACCTGTCAGACCCCACTATTCCAAAGGCCCCATAACCTCTCCAAACAATACCCCCTTCTGGGGACCCAGTGTTTAAATGAGTGAGCCTATAGGGAGACATTTGAAACCCAAAGAAAAAGTAAGACATGGAAGAGGGAACCCAAAACTACGTGCGTGCATAGTTGCTTTTGTAAGGCTATTTTTGTCCCAGCAACACAAATGAAACTTAAGCACATACACATATTTTTCATATTATTTGTTATGTAAGACCACGTAGATATGTTTGTCTGTATCACAGCAGCCGTATAGTTATAAAAAGTGTCATTAAAACCAGGTGATTGAGGCATTGTTATTATAAAGGATTTAGGTTAACATCGGGTAAGGTCTTCCAAACAAGCATTGTCAGTGAATTTTCCTCAGGTTCCACACTAGACTGATATGAGTTGGAGGAAATGATCAGCCAGGGGTTTCTTGTCTTGCTTGTATGTTTTGTTGCTGTGTGGAATGTTGTGGAAATGTCACTCCCCCATTACCACCACCACCACCCATTCACAGGCCAGTTTTTCCCTCCCACAGGTTGGCCAGCTGCTCCCTCAGTAAGCAGTGTTGGAACTACCTTTCTGATGTTCTGAAGCGAAACAAAACCCTGAGCCACCTAGACGTCAGCTCCAATGACCTGCAGGACGAAGGTCTGAAGGTTCTCTGCCAGGCTCTGAGTCTCCCGGACAGTGCCCTGAAGTCACTATTGTGAGTTTCTTTGAGCTTGACGTTAGAGGCCTTGTCTAGGGATCCTTAACATCTGTCTATACCCGAGAATATGGAGGCTAGGATTATTCACCTCAGGTTCCAAACGAGCCTTTCCCAGGGACAATTCCATACCTTGACCTCTGTGTTGGGGTTTTGGTATGTGGTTGGCATCAACTCAGAACATAGACACCAGGGACTGAGAGGAAGAAAGGAGTTATGGCTTGGGGCCAGGAGATGGTTAAGATGTTTGGGGTGGGTCTAGGAGATGAATATCCTCGGGTCGAAAAGTGGCCCCCAAATTATGGACAGAAAGGTACATTCTTGATTTTTCTTGTTGCCGTGACTGTGATGAAATACCTGATAGAAGGGAGTTAAGGGAATCAGGGTTCATGGCAGGTCATAGGATGGAATGTTCTAATTTCTCTTGGTGCAGATAAAACGTGGTAGAGTGGCCTCCTGGTGGCGGGAGTGTATAAAACACCTTCACGTCTTTGTGGATTTGGAAGCACCAAGTGGATCCAAAAGCAGGGGTATTGATACAACCCTTAAGACAAACACTCAGTGGCCCACGTCTACCTGTCAGACCCCACTATTCCAAAGGCCCCATAACCTCTCCAAACAATGCCCCCTTCTGGGGACCCAGTGTTTAAATGAGTGAGCCTATAGGGAGACATTTGAAACCCAAAGAAAAAGTAAGACATGGAAGAGGGAACCCAAAACTACGTGCGTGCATTAGTTAATGTGCATGAAAAGTCTGCTTGGGGAAGAATAAGCAGCAATGGGAAGAGAAATGACAGAACTCTTTAATTGCCGATTAGACCATTGGGAGGTGTTTGGGACGTGTTGTGTGGTGGTTGTTTTGACTATGCCAAGTAGATTAGTATTCTATGATCAAATGACATTCTCTGAGAAATCCAGACGTGTTCGACTTGGGAGAACAATTTTACTTAATCTGTCATGAAACCTGAGTCACATTTTTATCCTCCCTAGAAAGGATTAAGGAACAGAAAGAAAATACAAAAGTGGATCATGGGTTTTTTTCCCCTAATGATGGCTTTGGCTATTTTTAGAGACTAAAAACCATTTTAAAATGTCAGATACAAAATATTTTTTAAAACATTACAAGGATCTGGAGCTGGTGGCAGCACACACCTTTGATCCCAGCACTCGGGAGGCAGAGGCAGGCGGATCTCTGTGAGTTCGAGGCCAGCCTGGTCTACAAAGTACATTCCAAAGCAGCCAGGGCTACGGAGAGAATCCATGTTTCAAAAAACCAAAAAAAAATAATATATGGGATGGAAAGCATCACTCAAAATATTTTCACAGATTAAATAGTTGTGTAAGAACTGGAGAGATGGCTCAGCAGTTCAGAGCACTTGCTTCTCTTCAATGGGACAAAGTTCCTAGCCCCTAAGTCCAGAGGCTCTCAATAATCTGTAACTCCAGCTCCAGGAGCTCTGACTGTCTTCCCTGGCCTCTGTGAGCACCAGCTTGCATGTGGCAGGCACAAACAAAGATACACTTATTTTTTGTGGTACTCGATTCACACAGGAATTTGAGAAATCAGAAGTGGGCTCCTCAGAAACAAGCTCATCCACTTGGGGTTCATAAGAAACAAGTGGATGGAAGGTGGTTCAGGGAACAGCAGGCTTCAGCCAAGGCTTCCCAGTTTGCTCCCTTTCTGTGTGGGTGGCAAAGGCTGCAATGCCAGCCATATTTCCTCTCTTGATGCAGAGTTTGGAGAAACCATGAAAGCTGCATGGTAGCCGCCCCCACGCCTGCCTTATCCGTGGTTTTCCATTTTCATAGTCAATCATTGCCCCAAAGTATATTTAATATGATATTGTTCCAACTCTTACTTTTTTCAAGATTTATTTATTTATTTATTTATTTATTTATTTATTTATTACGCACAGTGTTCTGCCAGCGTGTCTGCCTACACACCAGAGGAGGGCACCAGATCTCCTTAGAGATGGCTGTGAGTCACCCTGTGGTTGCTGGGAATTGAACTCCGGATGTCTAAAAGTGCAGCCCCCCTTGTTCCAACTTTTAAAAAGATTTATTTAATGCATTTTATGTGTGTGCACTTCAGAATGTGTGTATGTACACCACGGGCTTGCAAGTAACCAACGAGGCTGGAAGAGGGAACCAGATCCCCTGGAACTGGAGAGAGGGGTTTGTGAGCAGCCTGTTCTGGCATCCAGACCTGGGTCCTCTGACAGAGCAGTGTGTTCTTCCCCTCTGAGCCATCTCCCCAGTCCCGTTTTAACTTTTATTACAATGTGTTGTATTTGACCTGCTCCATGGTTAATATGTTACCATGCCTGGTTTCTTCCTTGTCCTCTGTGGACCATTGAGAAGATGACGTTGTCTGAAGGGCTCGGTGCTGTCTGCCGTTTCGGGCATCACCAAGTCTTGTGTAGCATTCCTCATCAGGTCAGGGAGTAACCAGTATACTGTGACTTGTCTCTTGCAGTTTGAGACGTTGTCTCATCACCAGTAGTGGCTGCCAGTATCTGGCCGAGGTCCTCAGCAGCAACCAGAACCTGATAAGCCTCCAGGTTTCCAACAATAAGCTTGAAGATGCCGGCGTGAAGCTGCTGTGTGAAGCTATCAAAGAACCCAACTGCCGCTTAGAGAATCTCGGGTGGGTGTCACAGCTGTGTCCTTGAGGGTGACGGAAGGTGGGAAACGAATGTGCAGAAAGAGAAATGAAAACTCCATGGGGAAGGCATAGAAGTTCGCAGTGCTTGTATTTATAAGCTACTTCAGAACTGGAAGCAATGAGCCTGGGCATACTTATATAACTTATCTCAACTGGACATACTCATAACACGTTATCGTCTAGAGGAGTGTGACATGGGACAGCCTCACTGTTGGGAATGGAGGCAGGAGAAGCCAATGGTGCTTGCATGGATGTACACATGGATGGATATATGCTTAGATACACAGATGGATGTCAGGATGGATGCTTGGATACACAGATGGATGTCAGGATGGATGCTTGGATACACAGATGGATGTCAGGATGGATGCTTGGATACACAGATGGATGTCAGGATGGATGCTTGGATACACAGATGGATGTCAGGATGGATGCTTGGATACACAGATGGATGTCAGGATGGATGCTTGGATACACAGATGGATGTCAGCATGGATGGATGAATGATGCGTAGATGGGTGAATGATTGACGGTTGCATGCATTGGTCCATGTTACTACGTGGATGGACGCGTGTTGGATTGCACGAGTGGATGGATGACTGGATGGTTGTGTGGCTGAATGTATGGTGATTGATGGCTCCAGGCATTGATGTATGGTATTCACTGGTTGAAGCATGTATCGGATACATAGCTATTACATGCAGGGTACATAGACGGATGGCGGCTGCATGCATAGATGGTTGGGTGGATGTCCACTGGAGGTGACAAGTGTGACCAGCCCACATCTCCTTGACTTCTTTGTCTGGACTAACTGGAATGGCAACTGCATTGGCTACCCTGACAAACATAGACTGAGTGGCTCATGCAGCAGGGATTTATTGTAGAGGCGCGAAGTGAGACCTTGCTGTGCTCTGCAGTCAGCAGGTTCCTTTAGAGGACCAGGATGGGGTACATTCCAGGCTTCTGTCATTGACCTGAAAAATGCCTCTCTTCTCCCTGTGTCTTCAGTTATACAAGATCAGACCCCACCCTATTGTCCTCACTATAACTTAATTTCCTCTGTAAGGACCCTGTCTCAAAATCCAGTCCCAGGAGACTCGGGGGATTAGAACCTCAACATTCACATTTTGAGGGGACATAGTTTAGTTCATAGGTTCAAAGCAAAAGGTATCAAGGCAGCCTGAGCTGTAGACTCGGAACTCACCAGCCCTTCACTCTATTACCCAGTGCCAGCTCATTTCATCCCAGATTCAGGGGCTGGGATAACAGACTTAGTGGAAAGGGCTAGTTCATTTACCACAGACCTGGATATAGAGAATGGGCAGTTAACATCTGCCAGAGAAGGAGAAATGTGGTGTCATGAACACTGGACTTTTAACAGACTGTCCTTAGAGAATATGGAGTGAGTGTAGGCTAAATGACCAAGTTGCCTCTCAACCATATTCTGCCTTCCTGCCTTGACATGGAGCTGTTCCTTTTGTTGCAGGTTGGAAGCCTGTGAGCTAACTGGTGCCTGTTGTGAGGACCTGGTTTCTGCTCTTAGTCAAAATGAAACCCTGTGGGCAATCAACCTGCTGAAGAACGCCTTGGACCTCAGGGGGTTGGCTATGCTGTTTGAGGCTCTGAATGTCCACGGGTGTTCCCCGAATGTGCTTGGGTAAGCTGGCCTTTGTTCTCCTTGATGGGAAGAGCCTGTGGGGCTGAGCAGGGATTGACTGAGACCTGAAATGTGCATCTGGGGTGATGGCTCAGTCCATAGAGTGCTTACAACACAAGCATGAAGACCAGAGTTTTATTCCCAGAAACCACATGAAAAGAACCATGGGTTTTACACTTGCAATCTCTGTACTGGAGAGGTAAAAAAGCAGGACGGAGGATGCTTAATGATGAGTGGCCAGCCTAAGCAAATTGGTGAGTTCATGCCAAATGAGAGAGCTCCCCATCTCAAGAGTCAAGAATGATACCTGAGGTAGACCCCTGTCCTCTGCATGCTTACACACACACACACACACACACACACACACACACACACACACACACACACACACACACACACACACACACAGAGAGAGAGAGA